TCTGCGGCCGGCCACCACCCCTAGTTCATGCCACGTGACTGCTGGGAAGGGGGTGGGGGCGCTGTGGTCCTAACGCCTTCCTCGCCGTAAAGGCCACTTGGGCTAGGGATCCATTACTGAGGTCCTAGCGGTCCCGCGGCTGGCGCTGTCCCTCCCTGAGCGCCGCTGAGCGCCCCGGTGCCGCCCGCAGCCTACTCCTTGGCTTGGCCGCTGAGAGACCAGCCTTAGGTCTGGGGCTCCCTACGGAAAGCCCAGGCCCGGGACCTGAACGCGAGATGCGGAAGCCCTCGGGTCCTCTTCCAGAGGAAATTTTCCGTGTGTTGGCGTGAAGCTTGGCCTGTGTTCGACTGTAATTTGCACTGCAATCAACACCTTTGCTCTCTAGCTGCAAATACATGTCAGGGGCTGTGTTGGGCTGAACTTGGTGATTTCCGCCTTCCGGGCCTCAGTTTCTCAAGAATTTAAGGGGACTGATGAGGATACCTCCTTGGCTGGGCTGGATTTAGGATTAAGGGAGTTGATCTACCTTCAGGGCTCGTGCAATCCTGAGGCGATCCCGGGGCAGCCAGAGGAGTAGGTCCACTTTATCCTGTGCCGGGCTGCTGCTGCTGCCGGCAGCGCTGGGTACCTGATGTGTACCGTGTGAAACTGCTCTAAAGCAGCGCGGGCTCGACCACACTCGGCCTCCACATGGAAGCCATGATGGAGGGAGCACGGGGCTGAGACAGCTTGGAGGGTCTGGACAGGACGGCAGACTTCCAGGATGAGGCCTGGGAGAGCCTGTTGGTGAAGTGTGAGCTTCTTGTTGGCTGCGGCACCACGAGCAGGTTATTTAGTACCTCTGTGGCTTGATCTGTAAAATGGAGTTAATAATGCCCACCTTACAAGGTTGAGGCTTAAATAAGCTGGTATACTTTTACTAGAGGCTAACATGTATACTAAACCTTTCATAAAAGTTAGCTGATAACCATTTATTTTGAGGTGATGTCTTAAAAAGATAACATCAAATCAAATTGTAAATTATTTAAATCTGTTGCCTTAAGGACCTACTAAAGTATGTGCCACCAAACTTAAGTGATAGTTGCAATATCCTCAGTATCCTTGTCTAAAGAAAATTAATGTTGATGTCAACGTTTTAACAGCTTTTTTTCATCCAGGTCTTTTACCCTCCCTACTCACTGAGTTTATTCACTTTGTGGTACAGTACATTCTAAAGCATTTGATTTGAATATTTTTGTACCTTTTTTTTTTTTTTTTTTTGCAGAACCAGGGATTGAACTCAGGCCCTTGTACTTGCCAGGCAAGCACTTATTCTACTGAGCTATCTCCCCAACCCCATATTTTTGTTCGTTTTTATTAATTATTAAACCTCTTCTAAAAAACAAAAAGCTGATGACAGCCATATGGGCACAGTGGCACACTCCTCCCTACTCACAAGTTTGAAGAATCACAACTTCAAAGCCGCCTAGGCAAGACTTTCAAAATTCAAAAATTAAAAAAAAAGTGGGCCGGGGAGATAGCTCAGTAGAATAAATGCTTGCCTGGCAAGCACAAGGGCCTGAGTTCAATTCCCGGTTCCACAAAAAAAAATAGTGGCTGAGAACATAACTCGGTGGTAGAGTACTCCTGGATTCTCCAGTTTTGCCAAAAAAAGAAAAAAAGGAAGGCTGTGATCACTGGGTGCCTTGGCTCAGAAGCCTGATACAGCTCAGTATCAGGCTGTTACTTAAGATCTGGGTACCAAGAGCAGTGTGGGTGAGGCTAGGGTGTCAGGGGACCCAGAGCATGGAACTGAGGCTTACAGGGTAAAGAGCAGTGGGCCACTAAAGGGTCTGACACAGAAGGTGCTGGCCAACTTGTTTCTTAAATCTTTCTGAAGCATAGGGGGTTCCTATGAGAGGCACTTGTCCTGGCCAAGTGACAACAGCTGGTGAGGTTTAAACTAAACACAAGAACCGTGAGCTTAGAGCTGAGTATGACAACGGCCCAGCTTTTCAGAATCATCTGAGGTTCTTGTTAAATATGCAGGCCTTAGGTCTACCACCACACCCCCTCAAAGGCTGGAGAAAAAGGCCTGCAAACACACTCCTGATGTATGGTGATCCTTCCCCAATACTGCAGGGTCTCAGGAAGGGACCTATTTGAATGTGACAATTAGAGGGTTTTTTTTTTTGTTTTTTTTTGCGTGGAACTGGGGATTGAACTCAGGCCTTGTGCTTGCCAGGTAAGTGCTTATTCTACTGAGCCATCTCCCCAGCCCGCCACCCTTTTTTTTTTAAAGACAAAGTTTCACTATGTAACTCAGATTGGCCCATAACTATGTTTCCTAGCCTGGCCTTGAATTTGCAGTGAACCTTCTGCCTCAGCCTTCAAAGTGCTAGGATTATAGGCATGTATGACCATGCCTGGCTCCTGGGGGAATTCTTGTTCTTGGCAGCCTCAAGATTTGCTAACCTGTCCATCTGTCCCACTAGACTACCAAGCCCCTTGAGGGTAGTGTCCTACCAGCTTACATTGTGTAACCCCCCAGGGACTGTCTTGTCACTCCAAACATAATTGGTGCTTAATAATTATTTGATCAATGAATTAGTGTTGAACATATAGGAAATGCAACTAAGAATGTTGGGGAGTATTTGGAAGTCATGCTTGTACTTTATCAAAACATTTTCTAGGATTTAAGAGAATCTGCCTATGAAAAATGAGACTTCAAAGATAAATTAGCAATGCCTTGCTGGGGTTATAGCCCAGTGGCACAACTGCTGCCCGGCAATCACAAGGTCCTGAGTTTGATTCCTACTACCAAAATAAATTAATTAATTAATTTAAAAAACAAAAACAGGGCTGGCGAGATGGCTCAGTGGTCTAAAGCACCTACTTGGAACAAGCTTGGCAAAGCACAGGGACCGCGGTTCAATCCCCCAGCACCACATGCCAGCGAGCCCCGCCCCCTGGTGGGCAGAGCTGGCCACACACACACACACACACACACACACACACACACTAAATAAATAAATGTTTAAAAAATAAAAAATAAAAAAAAATTTAAAAAAACAAAAACAAAAAAAAGATTTGCTAACCAACGAGATGTGGAGAAAGGCAACTAAGATGACTCCGGATTTCAAGTTCTAGACAAGTCTGGTGTAGATTTGCTGTTCATCCCTTTGTACAGCTCAGTCTGTCACTTGCATGAAGTCACACAGGCATTGTCAGAGACAAATTGTAGACACAGGTGCACGCTTGTTTGCTGCTAGAGATTGAACCCAGGACCTTGCACATTGCATTTTATTTTTTTAAACAGGGTCTCTGTAAGTCTCTTAGGCTAGGTATGAAGTTGTGGTCCTCTTGCCTCAGACTCTAGAGCGGACTGTTAGAATTACAGGAACACACTAGCACACTGAGCAATTTATTTATATGCAGGCTAGCCTCAAACTCACGGTCCTCCTCAACCTTTTAAATAGTTGGAAAGGCCAACCAAATAGCTCAGCAGATTAAAGCACCTGCAAGCAGGCGCAGGCACAGGGGCTGGGGGTTCAATCCCCAAGGCCTGCCGTGCCGGCCCCACTCCCAGGGCGTGCTGAGACAGTGATTAAGACTGGGCATGGTAGCGCATGCCTGTAATCCCAGCTCTTGGGAGGCTGTAAATAGGCAGATCACTACAAGTCCGATCTAGTAGTGAGACGCCGAACACCCTGTAGACCCTTCCCTAAAATACTAAATAGTTGGAATGACAGGTCACATGCCCATGGTACCAGGCAATGGGTTTTTATTTAGGTGGTGTTGCGATCAAACCCAGGGCCTTAGACATGCAAGGCAAGAGCTCTACCATTGAGCCACATCCCCAGCCCCAGTAGTTGGTTTTTTAAATAGCATTCATTGCCTAGAAAGCTGGGTATTGGTTTGCAGACCCAAGGATGGGACAGAAGAGAAAAAGGTCCTCCTTTCATCTGTAGAGAGCAGTTGGGGATAAGAAGGCTGTAGTTCAGTGATGGCAACCTATGGCGCACATGCCCCGGGGGCTGTCTGTATCACTGAATGCTCTAAAAGGTTCGCTACCACTGGCTCAGAGGATGAGGCAGTGGGCACAGCTTCTGTGTCTCCAATGGATGCTTCTACTCTTGCCAGTTGTGCCAGAGGGATGTTTGACTTCTTTGGAGCAGCCTATGTGTGTCCAGTGTGTGAGGCTTGAGTAGTGTGCTCCTGAGAGTGCCTCAGTGGAGTCATGTTGAAGTACTTTATTGTGAAGCCCAGGGACAGCATCTGAGGGTGCATGAGCAGAAGGCCATCACGTATATGCCATGTTTGTCAACATGAAGACTTAAGGGTGTTAGAGACAAAGATATAAGTCTGAGACTTTCACATCTCACATTCTCATATACCATGTGTGCATGTGAGCCTCAGGTAAAAGAAGTGCTATGAGGGTGAATTACAGGGCTTGTACAAAGGCATAGAGAACCGAAGTAGTCTGGTAGTCTGTTGCATCTATCTATCTATCTATCTATCTATCTATCTATCTATCTATCTATCTATCTATCTATCTTTGTATTGTGGATTGAACCCAGTGCCTTCACATTGAGCTCCATCAGTGTAGCCCTTCTTCATTCTTTTGAAACATGCAGTCCTCCTAGAGTGCTGCTATTAAAGGAGTACACCACCACACCGTAATTTCTATTTTCACTTTTTGAGATGCTGGGCCTTGTGCCTGGTAATCACTCCACTTTAACACTGAGCTACTTCCAGCCACTATACTTCAATTTGAGATATATCTTACCAGCACCAGAAGGGGCTGTTCCTTTCATCTACCTGGGAATACTCAAGTACATTACCTGTATACAGACTGTTATGAAGTGCAGGGGACCTAGGATGGGTACCTGAGGGCAAAGTTCCAATGCTGCCTTCAGCAGGGCTTTGGAAGCCTAGTATCTGAGCCTGAGCCTCCAGCAGGTTCCTGAGCACAGTACCCACTGCTCTGACAGTGCCTCCCCTTTTGTTCATCCCCACAGGGTCTGCTGCTTGGTACCACACCAAGGTCCAGAGGCCATGGCCTGCCTCCATGAGACCCGCACACCCTCCCCTTCCTTTGGGGGTTTTGTGTCTACCCTCAGCGAGGCATCCATGCGCAAACTGGACCCAGACACTTCAGACTGCACTCCCGAGAAGGACCTGACTCCCACCCAGTGTGTACTTCGAGATGTAGTGCCTCTTGGTGGGCAGGGTGCGGGCGGGCCCAGCCCTTCTCCAGGCGGAGAGCCACCCCCTGAGCCTTTTGCCAACAGTGTCCTACAGCTACATGAGCAGGATGTGGGGGGCCCAGGGGGAGCTACTGGGTCACCTGAGAGTCGGGCATCTAGAGTTCGAGCTGATGAAGTACGGCTACAGTGTCAGAGTGGCAGTGGGTTCCTCGAAGGCCTCTTTGGCTGCCTGCGCCCAGTATGGACAATGATTGGCAAAGCCTACTCCACAGAACATAAGCAGCAACAGGAAGGTAGGCCTAATCCCTGTGGGCACCCTCTTCTTGCCTCCCTGAGTTCAACATCTATTGGATGCACCCACCTAGGTCACCCAATGATCCCTTCCTGCCTTGAGGCCCAGGTCTAGCCCCATCCAGATCCATCAGCCTTGCTTCCTAGCCTTTGGCTTTCCCATGCTGGGGTGATGGCACCTGGATTCCCAGGCCCTAATACATGCCGGGCAAGTGCCCTACCACTGAACTGCTACACGCCTAGCTTCTTCTGAAGCTACCCAGTTACTTCCTGCTGTCCCTGTACCTAGTCTTTTCAGCCTAATTTGGCCACCTTTCTTCCCAACTCGAGTCATTTCAGCCAACCCCATGCTGTCCTGACCCTGGCCTTGAGTGTGTCACAAGACCTTGAGTGAAGCTCTAAGCCTTGTGGCACTGTGCCTCCTGCCTACAGACCTTTGGGAGGTCCCCTTTGAGGAAATCTTGGACCTGCAGTGGGTAGGCTCAGGGGCCCAGGGTGCTGTCTTCCTGGGGCGCTTCCACGGGGAGGAAGTGGCTGTGAAGAAGGTACGAGACCTCAAGGAGACTGACATCAAGCACCTGCGAAAGCTGAAGCATCCCAACATCATCACATTCAAGTGAGGTCCAGGGCAGGGGCCTGGGATTTTAGAGGCCTGGGACTCTCCTGGGCAGTGGGACCTACCCTGTCTTTCCCAGAGGGGACCTCCCAAAAAGGCATGGATGGGAACTAGGGTTCTGGGTGCAAATCAGGTCAATGTTGAGCTGAGGGTTTCATACCATTGTCTGCCCCAGGGGCGTGTGTACCCAAGCACCCTGCTACTGCATCCTCATGGAGTTCTGCGCACAGGGCCAGCTGTATGAGGTGCTGCGGGCTGGCCGCCCTGTCACCCCTTCCTTGCTGGTTGACTGGTCCATGGGCATCGCTGGAGGCATGAACTACCTGCACCTGCACAAGATTATCCACCGAGACCTCAAGTCTCCAAAGTAAGCAAGGAAGCCTGATATGCCCATGACTTGCCCAAGGCAGTTGGTACCTCCAGACCTGTTCCAAGTCCATGTGCCTACTTCAGAACCTTCTAAGTAACAGTCCTTGCCAAGGAGATAGCTCAGTAGAATAAGTGCTTGCCTGGCAAGTGCAAGGTCCTGAGTTCAATCCCCAGTACTGCAAAAACAAACAAAAGTCCTAGCTTGGGAGGGCTGTAGTGAGCATCTCACATTTGGGTGTCCCAAATGTCAAACAGAAAGGCAGAATAGCCACAAGCTTATAGGGGCGTGTGGAGGGGGGTGGACCCTAGCTCACTATATACTCTTTACCAGCATGCTAATCACCTATGATGATGTGGTGAAGATCTCAGACTTTGGAACTTCCAAGGAGCTGAGCGACAAGAGCACCAAGATGTCCTTTGCAGGGACAGTAGCCTGGATGGCCCCTGAGGTGATCCGCAATGAGCCTGTGTCTGAGAAGGTGGACATCTGGTGAGGGCCAGGCTGAGGACTGAAAAGTGGGTGGGCATGGGGGGATACTTCCAGGGCTTCAGTGAGATAGGTCTGGGGCAGCCAACACTTTTGCAGAGTCCTTCCCAAGTGATGTCATCTCTTCTCTGCAGGTCTTTTGGTGTGGTGCTATGGGAACTACTGACTGGGGAGATCCCCTACAAAGATGTAGATTCCTCAGCTATCATCTGGGGTGTGGGAAGCAATAGTCTCCATCTACCTGTGCCCTCCAGCTGCCCAGATGGCTTCAAAATCCTGCTTCGCCAGTGCTGGTAAGATGGACTAGAGACCAGCCTGGCCAAGTTGTGAAGCAAGGAAGAATTCTTAAGTCAAAACTCGCCATTCTCTTAACCCAGGATGGCTGGGTGTGGGTAGCACATGCCTATAATCCCAGCAAGTACTTGCAATTTGAGGCAGAACTGCGCCTGAGTTTGAGGCCAGCCTGGGTGACACAGCTGAGTTCCAGGCCAGCCTGAAATACATAGTGAGACCGTTTCAAAAAACAAAACAAACCAGGATGCAGGACATGGGTTAAAAGAACAATGCAGAACTAAGAGAGGGTGGACTGAACATTTAATCGGCATGGGTCTTATTATACTGACCTGTATCTTAATGGGAGTATGCTACCTTCTGAGCTGAGGGACCTTGGGCACATAGTATCACCTCTAAACCCGTTTCTACATCTAAAATATATAGGAAAAAATATCTGCTATCCAGAAAAAGCAACATGAATACACAGAAGTGCCAAGAAAGAGGTATAAACACTGAATATAAGTAGCTCACTGACAACTTTAGAATGCAAGAGGAAAGGTTGATTTAACCTTTTCCCCCCCAAGTTTCACTTTTAATGAAATTACTCAGGGCAGACACGTTAGAACACAGGAGTTAAAACAGATATGCAGGATGCGGATGTGCTAACAGATTACACGTGACATTTCCTAGGCTGTAGAGTATGGAATTCCTTTGTCACAGAATTCATTGTAGGGTGGGAGATGTGGCACTTGCCTGTAATCCCAGCACTTGGAAAGCTTGAGGCAGAATAGCATTGAGTTCAAGGCCAGCTGGGCTACATAGTAAGTGCAAGGCCACCCTGCACTACAAAGTAAATCTCAAAACTTCAGTCTAGGACAAAGTCTCCTGACACTTTGTAAAAAGATAATCTGGTTCCTATCTAATCTCTGAAACCCCTTTCGCCCTTATCTCCATTCCCTTCAGGAACAGCAAGCCACGTAATCGGCCATCATTCCGACAAATCCTGCTACATCTGGACATTGCCTCAGCCGACGTACTCTCCACACCCCAGGAGACTTACTTTAAGTCCCAGGTGTGCTGTGGGTAGGAAAATGAGTATGTGATTACCCCTTTGCAGAGATGTGCTTTGGGCGGGAAAAGGGTTGACTTTTGACTGGATAGGTGGATCCTCTTTGAGGCCCCATTCCTTCCTGCTCTAAAACAAAATCTCCACTACAATCACCCTGGAGACCCTAGAGATAACCTGCCAACCCCCTTGCATTCTTTCACCTCCAGGCAGAATGGCGGGAAGAGGTAAAGCTGCACTTTGAGAAGATTAAGTCAGAAGGGACCTGCCTACACCGACTAGAAGAGGAATTGGTGATGCGGAGAAGGGAGGAGCTCAGGTGTGTGCCTGCTTGGGGAGGTACACCTGCATAGACCAGCCATCACCAGACTTGGGACTATCATGGCACCAAGTTTAGTCAGTTCACCTGGAGGTACCCATCTGCCCATTTCAGACATGCCTTGGACATCAGGGAGCACTATGAACGGAAGCTGGAGAGAGCCAACAACCTGTACATGGAACTGAATGCCCTCATGTTGCAGCTAGAACTCAAGGAGCGGGAGCTACTCAGGTAACTCCACCTGCCTTATGCATTGACCACAGGTCTTGATGGAACTGGCTGACCTAAGAGGAACCCTTCTTGTTTATATACCCAACTGAGAAGATGCCTGTATCTTTAGGCGGGAACAAGCTTTAGAGCGGAGGTGCCCAGGACTGCTGAAGTCACACCCTTCCCGGGGCCTCCTGCATGGGAACACCATGGAAAAACTCATCAAGAAGAGAAATGTGCCACAGAAGCTATCACCCCATAGCAAAAGGTGGGGCTTAAATTCAGATAGGTTTGAGTAGGGTAGGGAAGTTTAGGGTATGCTTTGGGTATATGAATTTATTAATCTCAATCTTGTACTTTCCCTTTACCAGGCCGGATATCCTCAAGACAGAATCCTTACTACCTAAACTAGATGCAGCTCTAAGTGGGGTGGGGCTTCCTGGGTGTCCTAAGGGACCCCCCTCACCAGGACGGAGTCGCCGTGGCAAGACCCGTCACCGCAAGGCCAATGCCAAGGGCAGTTGTGGGGACCTGCCTGGGCTTCGTACAGCTGTGCCACCTCATGAACTTGGAGGACCTGGAAGTCCAGGGGGCCTAGGCATGGGACCCTCAGCTTGGGAGGCCTGCCCTCCAGCCCTCCGTGGGCTTCATCATGACCTTCTGCTCCGCAAGATGTCTTCTTCATCCCCAGACCTCCTGTCAGCAGCACTGGGAACCAGGAGCCGTGGGGCCACAGGAGGAGCTGGGGACCCAGGCTCACCACCTCCAGCCCGGGGTGATACCCCCCCCAGTGAGGGCTCAGCGCCTGGTTCCACCAGCCCAGATTCACCTGGGGGAGCCAAAGGGGAACCACCTCCACCAGTAGGGCCTGGCGAAGGTTCAGGGCTGCTGGGAACTGGAAGGGAAGGGACAGCGGGCCGGGGAGGAAGCCGGGCCGGGTCCCAGCACTTGACCCCAGCTGCACTGCTGTACAGGGCTGCTGTCACTCGAAGTCAGGTAAGTATGGAAAACGCCCCATGTTCTTTCCTTTTTCTTTGCCACCAGGATTCAAGGCTTATTCCTCATACTACACTCAATCTTAAACATGCCCTCTCTCCCTCTGTAACCATGTTCCTTTCTACATTAATAATCTCTTACTGTTATTGACCACAGGCCCCTATCTCTCCTGCAGAAACGTGGCATTTCTTCAGAAGAGGAGGAAGGAGAGGTGGACAGTGAAGTAGAGCTGACATCAAGCCAGAGGTAAGTGGTACAGTACAGGTAGTAATGGCATTCTTTTTGCATTCTGAGCTCCAAAGAGCAGAAAAAGATGTGAATGTCCTCCTCAAACATTTAGGTGGCCTCAAGGCCTGAACATGCGCCAGTCATTATCTACCTTCAGCTCAGAGAATCCATCAGATGGGGAAGAAGGTACAGCTAGTGAGCCTTCCCCGAGTGGCACACCTGAAGTGGGCAGTACCAACACTGATGAGCGGCCAGATGACCGATCTGATGACATGTGCTCCCAGGGCTCAGAAATTCCACTGGATCCACCTACTTCAGAGGTGGTCCATGAGCCTGAACCTAGCTCCCTGGTCATCCCACACCAGGACCTACTCAAAGGTGAGCAGGTAAGAACTGAGACTAGGTATTAGGAAGAATCAGAATCAGGTACATGGCCAGTTGACAGCTCTGGGGAGACAGATGCACAGACCAGAAAGATCGGAATTTGGCCTCTAAGTTACTCAATTTCTGAGTCAGGTTTCTCCTGTTCCAAAGGAGCCAGATATCCAACATGGTAAAATTCAAGGCTCATGGTACAGAGTGCTTGATAAGGAAGGGGTTTGACACATAACTTGTATGGCAATTATTAAGTACTGCTATCCAAAGGATCAAGAAAATAAGTCTGGCACCTTAGTAGCCTGAGCAATTACAAGTCTAGAAGCAAGAAAACCAGTAAGCCAGAAGCTATTTTAAAAATGGCAGCAAGGAACCCTAAAGGAAATCTATTTGTAATGCCAAGAGATGCTGAGCCCCATCTCATTGCATGTCTACTCTTCCTCACAGGGCCCTCCCAATTCTGAGGACTCAGACTGTGACAGCACTGAATTGGACAACAGCGTTGATGCCTTGCAGCCCCCAGCCTCCCTCCCTCCATGAAAGCCACTCTTATTCCATGTACATAGAGAAATATTTATATAAATAATATATATGCGCCACATAATCAACAGAGACAGATGGGACTGTCCCAGCTTTAAGTCTGACTTGAAGACTGACCCCCCTGACCAATTCACCTGATAAAAACTCTAGGGACACTGGCAGCTGAAGATTATTGCCCTAGAGCTGTACGTAAGAGGAAATCAACCCCTTCTTGCTTCATTCCTTATGTTCAGCAACCAACTAGGCAGTAGAAAGCCAGAGTTGTCTCTAGACTCTTTAACCCCCAAACAGTTGAGGGGAAAGGGACAGGAGAGGGAACCACTGAAGACTGCACTTTTGTTTTCTGTTTACTCTGTTTACACATTTTTGCACTTGGGAGGAGGGAGACTAAGGCTGGGTCCTCCCCCCTGAGGTTTCTCAGGTGGCAATGTATCTCATTTCTTTGTTCCTGCAACTCTGCCCAGGCCCTGACTCAGGGCCCAGGGGGAGGTTAGGAGATTGATAGCATGTGGATGGCTCAGGCTGAAGAACTGGGGTGCTGTTGGAAGTCCCTGCTTTTATCTGGTGCTGGATTGGGGTGGGGACTGTCATATTGTAACCCCTGTGAAAAACCTTCAAATATAACCACTCCATCCATGCAGGCCCAGCTGTTGAGGGTTTTCTTGGTGAATAAATGGGGTAGCACTAATTTAAATAGGAGTCTTGGATTGAAGAATTTATCTGAGAACTTAGAGGACGAACTTAGAGAACTGCATTTTCTCACCTAATAAAAACTATCAAACTACAACTTCCTAAAAATTATAAGCATGGGGAGATGGCTCGGTAGAATAAGGACTTCCCTGACAAGGGCAAGGGTCTGAATTTAATCCCCAGTTCTGCCAAAACAAAATAAAAATTATAAGCATCAATGGCAGCAACTACTTTTCTAAATGATAGGGACAGATTTGAAATATTCTTGTAAGACTGTACACGGACAGTTATTAACATTAAGAAACTGAAGGATTTTAGTTTAAAATACGTAAGCTTGAAGAAACAGACTACTTTACTTCCCTGTGTATGCAATGAGAACCCCTCTCCCAAAGTGCCTGCCTACTCTACGGAGCAGTTCTAGAAATTCTAATGCTGTCTTTGGGAATAAATTTTACAAGGGCCAATCAGTACCAGGTTACAGGAAAGAAAGATTAAGGACAAATTAAAAAACAAGGAGTGCTAAAAAAGCAAATACATATTGGAATAAAGGATTCTATTCAAAACCCTAAGTAGGGTCCTGTGAGGGACAAAAGGTACAAAAATAATAGCAAGACAACAGGAATAAAACCCACATGGATCACTGTGGCATCCAGTTTCTATTCACAAAGAAAAAGCTCCAGTCCATCTTTTAATTTTTTTGAAAAATTCCTGACATTACAGAACTAAACTGAAATGTATTAATATTCTACTCTTACATTTTCATGACAAACAGAAAAATTCATGAGCCAAAAAAACAAACAAACCAAAAAAAAAAAAAAAAAAAAACAGGGAGAAGCTTAAAAAACTAAATATGGATCTCAGCATAAACAGCTGAACAGAGAAAGGAATTAAAACGCTTTAATTAAAAAATCACGAGTGGATGATAAAGTGTGTAGAAACTGAAAATTTACAAACTATTTAAAACCTGGAATCGCTGACTGTTCAGAAACTACACAGATGGATCATGGGTGGTGGTGAACAGCAGAAAGGGTTATGGATGAATCTGCATTGTTCTAGCTGCTCCCCATGCCACCCGTCTCCGAGGAAAGCCTGTAACACAGAAACAGACAAGAACTCCAAGTTAGTTTTCCCAGCACCCAGCTATCCCTCACCTCTAGAACTTTGAATGTGATTGATGAAATGAAAGGGAGGTGCTTTATCACCACTTCAGTATCGAGACATTTCAACATTTCCTGGACTGACTTGAATATACCATGATCCTTTTTAAGATTCTACAATTTAAGATTCCTGAGGCAAATTACCTCAGAATAGAAGAAAAAATAGAAGAGTCCCTCAGTCTATGTTCTCTGAAACATTTATTAAATGCTTTCTGAAGACAGCTACCATTATTAACAAAGATTTTTTTTTCAGGGGTGGGGTGGGCCTGGCTCAGGCTGCCTTCAGAGCACCTCTGGCAAGGCATGTGGAGCTGGGATCGAACTGCAGTCCCCTGCACCTGGCTGGGTTTGCCCAGGCAAGCGCTTAAACAACTGAGCTAAACCGCAAGCCCCCTTAACAAAGATTTTTGGAAGACATGGACACACAAACGTGATGCTATTAACTTTCCTTCCACACGCTAACACACTAACGGAAAACAGCCCATTTAGGAAACATCTGAAAGTAGCTTTATGGGGTCAGTGCTTAAGACACCTCAAAGCCTGCAGTACTGGCCCTATACTTCTACCAGTGTGATGGCTATTACTACGAAGAGTTCATTCAATTTTAAATGCTAAGGAATGTTAAAGAGGCAACAGCAAACAGAGTACCTACAGACCAATAATCTATTATTCTCATGTTTAGATTAGATTTCAAGTCTAAAGATTAAGAGAAAAAAAATTTGTTTTAATATAATACCCTAGAGCTCACTTTTAATAACTCCTTATATCTAGGGTGTTATTGAGCCAAATTATCCATCCAAATATGCCAGGCTTTCCTTTCTGCTTCAAACAGGTCACAGAAGTTATGAATGTGAGAAAAAGGGATTTAGGCTGTCAGTACTACTCACTGATATTAGGGACTTACCAAGACTTAAGGTTTTGACTAGAACAATGTATGTAAGAGTTTTCCTTTCAGTTATTTCATGGAAGATTTTAAAGTCAAAGCCCGGCATGGTGGTGCACACCTGTAATCCCAGCCCTGGGGAGGCTGAGGCAGAAGGATCATTGAGTTCAATGCCAGCCTGGGCTCTATAGTAGGTTCAAGGTCAGCCTAGACTGCATAGTGAGACCCTGTCTGAGAAAAAAATAAAAATAAATAAAAAAGAAGAAAAAAAAGGAATGACTGAACACACTATATTTCTTCTGCAACAATTTAAAGTCAAAAATTGGCAAGAAGGCAGAGACAAGAGCCAGTAAAATGAAGAGCCCTTCAATCATGGACTATATTTAAAATTTAAAAAAATTTTTTTTTCATTACTGCATGAAAAAAAAATTTAGTTCTTAAAAGGGGGCATCTTAGGCTATGGCAAGACCAGCCTAAATCACTGAGACCCTCTTCTCAAAAATACAAAAATAAGGGCTGGCGAGATAATTCAGCAGGCTAAGTCCCTGCTTAGGCAAGCGCAGGGACCTGGGTTCAATCCCTGGCACCACATGCCACACAGGACCTGTTCCCACTCCCGGGCATACTAAGAGGCCACCCAGACCGGGCATGGTGGTGCATTCTTATAATCCCAGCACTGGGGAGGATGAAAACAGAAGGATCACCGTGAGTCAGAGGATCACCATGAGTCTGAGCTGTGTAGTGAGACCCTGTACCAAATACATTTAAAAAATAAAAAATTATACCCCAACCCCAAAACAAAGAGGAGGGACCAAAACAGGCTAATATAAAACAAGGTAAAAAAGCCCTGAAATAAAGGGCTCAGTGAGAAATGAAGGTCCAGGAATGGAATTGCTGTCTACAGTTCAGTCCATCCAAGGTGGAAGCACTCTAGCCCCAGAGTTCAAAAGAACTGCCTAAAACTTACACCAATTCTGAACAGGGTTTTGCAGGGGAAGGGGTAAAGATGGGTTGAGGTAGGAGACAGGGAGAAACAAAAACCCAATTGTAAACACATTGAAGGTCTGAGACTCTGAGTTAGCAGTACAGCATTTGCCTTTGCAGGCGTGAGAACCCAGGTGGGTTCCCCAGCATCACCAACAAAAAATACATTGGGGATGCTAAGACTAAAGGACCACGTGGGGGAGCTCTAACGTTTTAAAAAATTAGTACCAAGGTGGTCATAGTAGTCAGGCCCTAAAATACCTGGATTCCTGCCTAACAATATTCACTCAGGGATTTAGGGAGTATTAATTAGATTAAAACGCCTTCTAATCAGGAACTAGATAACATTTAAAAAAATCAAGCCCTGGAGTGGAGAAAGGTAGCATCAGTATAGCAAATCCTAACTACTAAAAGCACTGAGAGCTAAACCACATGATAGAGGAATGACTAGAGCAAAAGCTTCTACCCGGACAAGTTTGTCTCTCCAATTCTTCACATAGACTCGCAGCACTTAAAACTATCAATTAATAGGCTCAATCTGTGAGCAAAGAACGACAATACAAGAGGATGAGATAATATATTTGACTTTTTAGTGAACAGCTAGGTTTTAATAATGTTAATGAAAAGTAATGTAGGAAAAAGGTCATCAGAGGGAAAAGTTCTGTACAACACTTTATTGTCTCTAATGTCCTGAGATGAACATATGTTTAGGATCTTGCCAACACATACTCCGGTTGAAATTAGAAAATCAGGTATTTGCTGTGTGTGCCTGTGTGTGATGTGAATATGGGAGAGTAAAATCAGGTATTCATACATGCTAGGTGAATGTTCTACCAGTAAGCTATACCTCCATAAAGATAGACCTGTGCCTGTGTCAGAAAAATAAGCAGCTGGATGTGCTATTTAGTAGTTGTATAAAAAGCTCTAGTTCAAACTTTAGCACCAAAAAACGACAAACTTCATAGAAGTAACACGTTCAGTACAAGTAAAGCACAAATTGAAAGCAGACTGTTAGTTCCTTCTAAAATATAATCTACAAATTTAAATTCTCCCAAGGGCTTTTTATTTTTTGGTTTCTTGGGACAGGGTAGTTTAGAACGGTCCTGAGCTCAATAGCTCAGGCTGGCCTCCAACTCACTGCAATCCTCCTGCCTCAGCTTCCAGAGTACCAGGGTCACAGGTGTGTGTCACTGCACACAGCGTGTTACCCCTTTGTAATCATATGATCTTCGTATGATCTAGAAACTTAAAATTCCCTCAGGAATTTTTCATTACATGAAGGGATTAATGAGTTACAGACTGATTTTTTTCAAATTTAAACATTATTCCCTACTCATGATAGTGTCAATTGGAAGAGGGAGGGGTAGGCAGGTAACAGAAGAGTACAGGAACTTGGCCAACTACTCAAGAAATGGTTTAGGATAACCAGCATCTTGAAATTCTGGGCAATGTCACAGGTTGGATGTTCAAGATTTCCCTAATGTCATATAAAGAGGGACAGTACTCATTGCCAGCAATGTAGATTGGGCTACTTAACTGATTTATCCAACTCTACCCTACCATTCTGGGTAGAGAAATGTATTCTTTGTATGTATACCTTGGAAGAGATCGCAAAAATAACTACACCCCAGAGGAAACAGCCTGGGATGGACACCCTTGTTCCCTGCTGCTGTTGGTAAGGTAAGGAAATCTGAGAAACTTTCTACCTAGCTAATTATCAGTTATAAAGGACTCTCAAAATCTATCTAAACATGCACACTTCTCTTTGTGGACCTATTGACAAAGGATTGCAAAAGTTACCTGGGAAACAAAAAGGCCAAAGCCAGTTGTGTAGACTTCCTAGTTGAATAGCCACAGGTCATAAGTTCCCACCCCTTTACCCGGCACAGCACACGGTAAACTACAGTTCTTACTCTGTCAACTTTATTACAGCTAGAAACACAAATCTGGCCAGGAAGGCCTGTCAATAGCTTAACCATTAAATTTTTTTAAAAAAAAAGGTCATCGGAGAAGCGTTTATTCATTAACACAAAGCCTAACACATTGTTATATTGCAAGGCAGAATAAAGCTACAAAAAAGATAACAGAATGAGAAAGAAGATCAAGAACTGTGGCTCTAGATAAAGAATTCAACAAGTCAGACTCTGAAACAGGCACTCAGCAAAAAAGGCCTAAACCTAAACAAAGGTTTACCATAGCCCTTCCAACCCCCCACCCAGTTTTATCCCAAGTAGTAAAAAGAAATCAGTCACAAGCTCACAATAGTTTGGTTCTCACCAGTATTAACAAAGGAAAACATAATGAACCAACAACACTTGAGGATGTGCCTGAAGATATGCACTCAGTAGGGGGAGAATCTCTGTTTCTCACTTTTCAGTTTGTTAGTTACACATGGCACCGCAGAAGTGGTGGTGGTGGTAGCTGAAGCCCCGGTACCCTTAGCAGCAGACACAACATTTAGAGCCAGGAGAGGGATGGGTTTCATGCCAAGCAGACTGGAGACACAAGGGGCGGTCGGAAGAGGGTTGGGGAGGCTGGAGGGTGCGTCGGAGGTCCCCGCTGTGGCGAGCGAGGGGGTGGTGGTGGAGGAGGAAGAAGAAGAAGAAGGGGTGGAGGGTTGAGAGAGGTTGATGCTGAGGTGATCGGGGATCGTGACGGAGGCTGCCTGGGAGGAGGGTTTAGCGTTTTCTAAACTGTAACAGAGGAAAAAAGGAACAAAAAAAAGGGTGGGTGGAAGGGAAGACCACAAAAGGGAAAAAAGTACAGGACAAAACCTCTTCAGTTCTATCAGTAAGTGCCTCTGGTTGCCAATTACGAAGACAATATCAACTTGAGACAAGCTCTCTTAGTCTCTGACCCACCCTCTAAATATGTATACTTTGCCACCTTCCACTCTACAATGCTATTTAAAACTGATGTAGTGAAGAAAAATCTGACACATTGAAAAAAATCATATATGGCATACTTTCTAGTTCTTAACCACTGACCCAACCCAGAAATCAGGAATGATTTTAGGCAAAATGATTTCAAGTAGAAAGTAAGAGTACTCAATTTCCAAACAAGAAAAACAGGTTTATCTACCAATCATATGTCAATTTCCCATTTCAATAAAAAAAACCAATTTATTACTTGCAATGCTCTGAATATTACACAGAATTTTAATAATTAATTTTTTTCTATAGTTAACATTAAAAGCTTCACAGCAAATGAACCAATGTTTAAGGATGGGAAGAGGCTAGAGTCCAAAGTAGGTCACTAATTTCAAAGAATGTAGCATTTTCAAAGAAAAATGCTGAGAACACAAGTATAGATAAGAACTGGAGCTTTTCTAGTGGGAGGTGGCAGAGTATAAAAGACTCTTTGTTTTTACTGAACATACTTCTAATGTCAGCTTTAGAGAACTGGAAGAAACTCAAGTACTACCAAAACATTCATGTTTAAAAAAACCAAAAGTAATGCTTCTACTTTAAAATATGCTCCAAATAACATTAACTGTTTAAGAGCAGGGAGACTCCTCTTAAAGACTCCATTTTGTTTATCTTTGTTCAGAATCAGTTGCAAGCCACAAAGGAGGCATAGTAATTAACTACAAAAAAGCCCCAGACTGCCACCATGAAAACTAGAGAGGCACAGCAGAAATGCTCAGAATCCATTAATGAAAGATAAATCCTTCTTGTCTATTATTAATAAAACCAGTCAGATTGGTGTAACCAATCTGGGCCAAGATCAAAAGATGAAGACCAAGCTCTATGCATACAGATTCCTGATTTTTTGTGTTAAACGAAGCTTTAAAAGTTCTGACCCAAAGCCACAGCTTGGATAGTATCATTAAACAGGATGATCCTAAAAAGCCAAAATAAAAAATAATCCTAAAGGGTAACTCTAAGAAAAATATTTCTGCTTCCTTACAATACAGCCATTGACTCAACTATAACAGCAGCCAGCCAAGTAAGTCACATTTAAGTATTCACAATTCAAACTTAGCTGGTAATACACTGAAGGACAAAAAAAAAAAAAAAAAAAAAAGTCTGCCTAAAGCATAAGTAAACAATTTGCAGATTCCAAGAACATAATCTCTGCCACTAAAAACATCCTTTCACCACTCTAATTAGAAACAAGATAATTCTTCAAAAAAACCTCTGTGGAAAAGCTTACAACCATTTTACTCTGAATACTAAGGACTGGATATGCTGGGCTGGTAAGCAAGAAAACAGATCCAGACATAGGAAAATTTTCTACATAAGGAACAGTAGGACATCAAGGAACAAAATGCTTAAGGAAACTCAAGACCACTACTGGAAAATGATGGCATTTTTAGCTAGGAATACACACATTGGGTCAGTATAATCCCAACAAGAACACAGACCATACTTAAGAATTTCTTTTCCTTCCACTAGATTCACAAACTCACATAAAACTTTCATGATGAAAAAACTAAATACTTGTAGAGAGGCTGATGAGATAATATCCCCCCCAAAAGACAGCTAAGCCCCTTGGAAAATGGGTTGCTAACACTGGCTTAACACAATAAACAATTAAGAATGTGACTATAGCACATCAGCTGAGAACAAGGAAAATTAAAAATCTTGAAAGATGTTCATCTGACAGCTATCCTATTACCTGAGTACAAACATGACCCTCATATGGCCTAAGAGAAATAAAACCTCAGAAGTGATAAAGGGATGAGACTGGAGGAATAAAAAAAAAATACACCTGGTATTTCTGAAACATTCCCGTACCTGTGCCTCCCCTTTCCCACAAGTTCTGAGTAACAGAACATACTTGGAATTTGAGAAAATTAGGTATTTTCAGAATAAATGGTGTGGCTGTCTCAAAACAAAAAATCCTGCTCTGATGTCTCTTTACTCCTTATTTTTAATTAGAAGTGCTCTGGATCTTAAGTCAACAAGTGAAAGGTATGTTCTATACAACATGGATAACAAGAGAAATGTAGATGTGGGTTTTGCCAGTACTGCTGCTCTAGCCAGAACACTACCCTATTTACTGAAGACTATTATGTCATCTTTTTCACTCCCCAAAGTCCCAAACCACCAAAAATCAAAAAGCAAGCAATCTATGTCACCCCATGCAAACTGACTGCAATCTTTTTTTTTGCTACACTTATAACAGAAGCAAGCAAGGATAGAGTACCCACCCTCCAAATAATTCCATATAGGGCAATTTACTACAATATTCCCCAACACACACATTACTGTGTTGGCCTTATTAAGTTAAAAGGTAGGGCAATCTTACCTGACATTGATTAGATATTGAGCCAGGCTAATGCTGGCAGCAGATCCAGTGATGGTAACCTGCCTATCAGTAGATCCTTCCACTGGGTTCGCAATTTTGATCTGCGCCCCAGACATCTGACGGATCTCATTGATTTTGGCGCCTTGACGGCCAATTATGCAGCCAATCAACTTGAGGGAGGAAAAAAAAAAAGGCACACCAAATTAAGATTCGCAGTGACTACATCCAAAAAAAATCAGACTGCATCTAACTTTTAGAACCTGGTCTAAGACTATGGCAACAGAAATTATTGCCTACATCCTACATTCTTTCCCCATAAATTCCTGGCCAAAAAACTTAAGTTGTAGATCCCATTTTAATTCCTGACCCATTCTGACAACTTCAGATCACGGCCAACTTTGAATTTGTAGACCAAGCATTATTTATTTCTTTCCTCAACCTGCCACTCCAAAGACAAAGTACATCAGAACCAAGATGATCTCAAACTAGATAAAGAAGCTTGGATGAGACTGGGCGTGGTGGTGCACACCTGTAATCCCAGCTCTTGGGAGGCTGTAAACAGGTAACTACGAGTCCGCTCTAATAGAAAAACCCTGAACACCCTGTAGACCCTTCCCTAAAATACAAAAAAAAAAAAAAAAAAAAAAAAAAAAAAGCTTGGTATTAAAACAAATCTTCAATTTTGGCTATTAACAAATCTTAAATTCATCCACCATTATTAACAAGTGAATACATTTAGTGAGAAGTTTTTTGTTCTGATTTTTTAAAATTTTATTTATTTATTTATTTGTGTGTGGTCAGCTCAGCCCACCAGGGGGCGGGGCTGGCTGGCATTGTGGTGCTGGGGGACTGAACCGTGGTCCCTGTGCTTTGCTAAGCTTGTTCTAAGTAGGTGCTTCAGACTACTGAGCCTTCTCACCAGCCCCAGTTTTGATATTTTTTTAAGCCAGAGTCTCACGATGTAGTTCAAGCTGGCATCAAACTCAAAGTGATCTCTCTTTCTTAGCCTCCCAAATGCTGGATTTCAGGAATATACCACCATGCTTAATAAAAATTCTAAATTTCAAAAGATTTTGCCTTTGGAAAAGACATTAAATTTGCATTGTTTAACACTATAAACAGTAATATGTGGCTTCTGAACACCTGAAGTGAGAGTAAAAAATGCTAAATTTTTATTATTTTCAAATAATCACATGTGGTCCATAACTACCATGTTCAACAGTACAAATCTAACATTTTAGATCCACTATACCCAAATATAGCTCTTTATATTTGATATATAAAGGTTCCCTCCACCTCATGCTAACCTTCACTAAATAGTTTTGTCTATTTTACCTATCAAGTTTGTGCTCAGAGTTCTGTAGATTCTTGGTTTCTGTTTTGAGACATGGTCTTACCTATTCAGGCTGGCCTCAAACTCAGCAACCCCGCCTCAGCCTCAGTCTCCCAAGTTCAGGATTACAGGCATGCATCATCACATCCAGCTAAAAGCCTTAATATGTTGTCTAAAAATTCTCATTTTGTTTTCTTAGGGTTTATAATTCCTATTCTTTAAATCCAATCCTACACAGTCCCACTACACTTACATCGTTTGGAATGGTGAGTTCATGAGAAGTAGTCTGAGCAGATGCATCCAAACCTGCTAAAAGACAGAAGACAGCAACAAAGTTCAATGCACAGCATTCAAAACTACATTAATTTGCACATTAAACTAACAGAAAGAAATTAAAACTGGAGACCCAGCATTGGCTGTTGGGATTCATCACTAACTTGGAAGCCTCCAAGGAGGAAAAGATGGGGAAAGGGTGCAGAAATAATGCTGGAATGTTCTTCTGTACACTCACTCAGAAGAGCTGATTTCATGCCATTTCCTGCAAAGCCCAGTCTATTAGGGATAGGGGGATGGAAGCAAGGGGTCAGGGGATGTAGTATCCTCAAAACAGGACCAAAATGTAAACATGAAGTCCTTATGTACTTCCACCCCATGTCTACTGTTGTGTTTCGATTTTATCACACCCAATGCTCACTAGCACCAATGCCAGTATCATGCCTGCTATTGGGCACCATGGACTTTTGGCACACATACAGAGTTGCTTTAAATATACCTGTATCAGATTTAACATCCTCCACCTCTATGTTCCTAACCTAGACTTAAAAGGTCACATAAAATGAAAGGGCTGTCAGGTGAGGGGAAGTATATTTCTCCAGATTCATGTCTTTTGCTTAATTTGTTCTGGCTTTTATTTGGTTTTCCAATGAAAAAAGAAATACCATCAGGAAATACCCATACCCATCTATGATGACACCTGGACTGGACAAGGCCAGCTGGCTAAGCCTTACAATCCCAGTCCTGCTCTCAACTACATTTTTTAGAAGGGGTTGGCCAGATCCATCAAGGGACCCTCAGGGGCACCAGGCCCACCCCTTTGCTCTCTCAGCTCCTCTCCGCCATGTGCATGTTGCTGGTATGGTTCATGGGCAGTGAAACAAGACTCCCACAAGTTTATTAATATAACAGTAGAATACTACAGATTTTTTTTTTTAATCATTACCCCAATAGCCTTTCACCTCTGGAGAGCTGGATTCAATGCCTGTTAAGATACAAGTGAAAATGAGTTTGGTGGTCTCATCCTAACCCTATCGGACAAGTTATTCCTCATACAAAAAAAAAAGAAAAAAACAAAAAACAAAAAAAAGCCCAAAAAACAAAACAAAACAAAACAAAAACAAAAAACACTACACAATTTGGCACAATGGATTGTCTCTTCCCAAGTCTGTGAACAGCTGGTGGAGAGAAAGGGGGTGCTGATCAGATTAAGGGGGCAAGAGTTAGAATGGATTACAAGAAATATCAGCCTACCCTTTGCCTGACAAGCATCCCCAGACCTCACCCCCAAACCTTCCAGGGCCTTTTTTTCTTTTAGAATAACTCACCCCAAATGAAAATCACGTTAACAAACACATTACCTCCTTGGGTTTAGCCATGGACAGGCTAAGTTTAAACCAGCAGGATGCTGGGTAACGAAGTGTGTTTTAAACAGATGTCAAGCTGAGACCTTGGGACTGGCCTCTGCCTTGAACTACACCTTACAAAAATAAACACTGAGGTGTCCATACCACTGAATCCGGTGTTGCCATGCGTCATGGGAAAATGAGACTGTTGCATTGCCAACTGGTGCAGCTTGGTCAACTACAGGAAAAAAAATAGGAGGGCTTGACATTAGAAGAGTTGTAAAGCCAAGGCTCAAACAAGTTCAATATGAAAATGCAGAGTTCCTGATCCAAACTCTATCACTACTACTATTACTACATCTACAACACAGGGCAGCTACTGGGCTCACAATACAATCCTATGGGATAGGCAGAATACGAAGAGTAAGGGTTAAAACAGAAGTACTAAGATTTTAAAAGAATGAATTTTGGTATGTGAAAAGAAAAGCAACAGCTTGTGCCCAACAATCATTCCCCTGTGGGCTAGTTAATGAAGGTGTTTGCAGCCATTGCAACAGTTGCCCCAGGGACAAGCATAGACAGGCTAGGTAAACAAACTATGCAGTGGTGCTAGGGAAAACACACCATGCAGGGTTCTGCAAGTATTAGGGACAGGAAAGGAAATGAGGAGGACAAGGAGACTGCAAGAAGAGAGCATAGGGAAAATGCAAACTGGTTTTAGTTCACACCACTTGACATCTACAGCTGTTTTTATTCACCTATATAAACTATCCTAGCTACTGTAAAATAATCCCTCAAATCTACTTCCCCTCTGCGAGGGCCTACCACTAACCAAGAACCAACCTCAACTTTCCAAATCTAATGCCCTGCATCTGAAAAGATTAGTAAAAATGAAGGAAAAGTGCAGGAGAAAAAAGCCCTTAAACAAGGTCTAAATACCAGTACTTTTAAATAAGTAATAGTTTTTAGTATTAAAGTTTTACTCAGTTGAATTCCCAGAAGTTCAATCTCCTATCTTTCCCTGGATCAGTGAGCCCCACCCCCAACCCCCACCCCAATTATTTTTGTTACCTCAGATTGAGGAGTACCCAAGGACTCGTCCAACATCTCACACCCCCCCCACTTCCAAAAGGAAGACTGTATTCAAAGAAGCACAGTTCACTGCCAACCTAGAACTGTGCCCTGATATGACAAATAATATTCCATAAAGCATCTTTTAGATAAAGTAATCTGAAACATGGAAAAAAGTATAAGGCAGTAATTTCTAGGGGCTTAATGTCAAAAAGCATACAAAGTTCTAATAAGCACTGGTTAAAAATTATTTAAGGGCCAAAACAAGTGGTTCACCTTCAGAGAAAAACAATACTGCCAATGTTTAAAACCCAACTCATTTAGGGCAACTTGGGAGAAAGGAGTCAAGACAATTTTGGATGGCAAAGGGAGCTTTTCAAAAAACAAGAAGTAAAAACCAAACTTACATCTGGCTGTGGAATGGCATACTGTCCTTGAATGGTATAGGCCTACAAGAGGAGGAAAACAAGTCCTATTAAAAACCAATCAGGGACAGCCACCCAGTGGGAGGGGGAGGACAAGATTTCAACTAGCCAGGAAGCTGAGGTTGAATTAGAGAATGGGGAGCCAGACTGAGACAGTAAATAGATTGAATCTCACATATACAGTCAGACCCACACTGGCTTCTTTGAATCCTCAGGGACTTTATTCCAGGGATCCTAAAAGGTAGTCAAATTCCCAGCAATCAAGGCAAAATATACTCATCTGCTTTTTAATAAAAATGTGGGAAGATTAAGTAATGCCTCAACTGGCCAAGGCCCCCTCTTCTTCCCTATGTAAAGACAGCCTTGGAGGGAAAATGGCTTCTTCCCTCCCCACCCATCCCAAGTCTTCTACCCATAGTGGTGCTGTGAATGATTTGTATCTTACAAACTTCCATGATGCTTTTTGAAGTACTTCCCTTTCCTCTATTTTTCTCTAACATCTGCCTAAAGACCTTGAGTACACTAGAAGCTAGCTGGAACCCTAAAACTAGGGAGCTGACCACAGAGCACAAAAATCACTATGCCCCTAAAGCCTTACTTTTCCCACCTCCCCTCCATAAAAGGCACTTGCAACTCCCACTATGCCCTCCTCCCACCACACCATGACCTCCCAAAAAGGGAGCTGGGTCTTCAGGGGAAGGGGGTGTGGGACCAAGAGGAAAAGGGAAGGGGAAGGGAAGGAAAGGAACAAATGCCTGGTTAACAGGATGTGAAGCTTCTCACATCACCGTGGCCAGTACCCCCAAAAGTGCACCCAGGTAGGAGTGGGAGGAAGGTGAAAATGGGGTGGGAGGATGGGACAGGGGAGGGATTGAACCAAAAATAAAAAATAAAAAATAAAAATAAAAATAAAAAAAGTTGGTGTTACCATCTGGTGGGCTACGCGGCCTGTGTGAAATGAGGTGGGGGGGTCAGTCCAGGTTCCCGTGGACAGGTGGTGTCCACAGCACAAAAATCACCAGCGCCACTGGCCCCCCGTGTGTTGGCAGTCTCGGCTGAGGCGGTAGGATTGAGTGAGCCTTGGAGACTGAACATCCCCTCTCACCTCTAGAGGTGGTCCCTCCAGGTCAGGGTTGAGGCACATGGACGGGGTGGTGTGGGGAAAGCTCGCACTGTCGCTGCCTGTGCTGTACCTGTCCTGTGGATAAATAGAGGATTTCAGTCTCCAGGGCTGTCAATCCGGCACCTTGTCACCAGCATGAAATTCACACAAAAAAAGTTGTTTATTTTTTCCTTTTTCCTTTAAAAAGGAGCTCACGACACAAATTTGAAACGAGCTGTAATCAGTAAATTAAAAAAAAAAAAAAAAAGTTACCTAATTGGCAGATTTCAAACTGCACAAGTGGGTTATTTTCAGTAAGAATGAAGGGGGACAACAGCCGATGCCAGCTCCTGGTCAATGTGGGCCTGAGTTGAACCCCTACAGAGCTCACTTTGCCACAAAGGAACAAAAGACACAGGTCCGTCTGTGGACACTGTACGAACTGATCCATACAAAAAAGGCCATGGGAATGACCCACAACAGGGCAATTCATGGAGGAAGCTGCAAGCTTTATTAGAGGGTGGTCAACTGAATAAAAGGAAGGGAGGGTAGGGATGCAAAGAGATATAGAGGGAGAGGAAGAGAAGGAAAAAAGGGAAGGGAAGAACTTAAGTAGAGGAGACTAAATGCCACACAGCATGGGACTACCTCGAATTCCAAATGGATATGGGAGAATCCAGAAGAACAGGCAGGACCTGGAGTTCCAGGTGAGAAGGGAATTCCTAATGCTAACCCTCCACGCTACACTGACTCTGAGCTTTTGCTTATCCTACCCAATATACAGACTGGCAGCCCTTTCACCAAACCTATTTATACAAAGCCAGTACTAAAGAAAATAATCTGCCTCAGTAACATTGTTACATATTAACTTGTGAAAGCTCCCAGAACTATATAATGAACTTAAGTTCCCTGAAAGTTTTATGCCAATTCACTTAAATGTGAATGAGATGGACTTCCAAATCTGTCCTTCCCTTCTAAATGGCCTCTGGGTCAAATACAAATAATGTATCAAAGATTCCTATTCTCTTTAACAGGCTAGATAGACCCCAGTGTGAAAATGTACTTTGAGCAATACATTTGCTCATGCAGCTACCAAAACAAAGATCACTATTTAAATCCCAATCTCAGTATTTTAAAAACTAACCTACTTATCAAGTCCTCAAATACTAACCAAAGCATAAAATGACCATGGTGCTTCTCCATGTTCTTGTCATTCAAATCTAATGTGAGAATAAACTATGTGTCAGAGATGAAGAGTTTAAGGTTGGTGAAGGAGCAGAGGAGGTCAAGGGGGTGCTTTGGTGTTCTTACTCTAACACCAAAGGTCACAGCACCACAGCCCAACATGCTCTCCCCCTATTCTGGCACACTGAACTTTTACCCCAGGTGATTTCCGTTATGCCGAACAGATTCAAGTAAGTGTTTACAAGGAAGAGCCTGAGGGACAACACACTGGAGTTTGGGAACAAAGGGGTAGGAGTAGGGGAGGTGAGGTGGAGGGAAGGGGAAGTTTGTAGGGCACTCAAGTTCAGGAGTCCCCAATTTGAAACCAGCATCCAGATCTCCTTCAGAGGTCCAATTCTGCTATATCTATTCAGACCTCTAAAGATTACCCCATACATATAAAAACACTGTCAAAGTAGAGATAGGGACAGAAGCAGTGACACCAAGGCATTTTAACTTTATTCTAAACCATAACCCACCTTAGTAAGTTACCTCTTCCGAGTGCCTACAAAACTTCCATTGCCTGCTAAAAATTAAATAAGGGCTTGGCATTCAAGGCTTTCTCCAGTACAAAACATGAAACTATAAGCGAGTCAAACTATGGCCAGGATACAGGTCTTAGCAAGCATGCAGAGTGGGTTTGGTGTACAAAGTTGACATTTCAAATAAAATTTGTTCATTCTAGCCCACCAGTAAGAATTTTCTTACCTGACCACCTGCAAAGATGACTGGAGAACTTGATGGCTTGGGCCGGTACGGGATGGTCACGCCCTTCGGGGGGGACTGGGAGAGAGTCAAAGGGGAAAAAAACAAAGAGAGATAAGGTTTCAAAGCTGCTTCAGCTGTGTGGCTTTAGCACACACAGGTCAGTTAAATTAAAAATCTTTATTTCCATCCCCTTGCCTAACAAATTATCTCTGGCTAAATATAACCTTAAATTATCCATTGAATCCTCTTAACCTTTTCGGTTTTTTGAGATAAGGTCTTGCCTTTCATTTGGAGTTTAGGCTGTTCTTGAACTCCAGCATTCCTCGGGCCACAGCCTCCCAAGTGCTGGGATTACAGGAGTGCACCACAACAACTAGCCTAGAATTTGCCTTTAAACTATAAGATGGTCTGTGAACTACAAAGGCTACACTTTTGAGATAGGGTTTTACGATGCAGTTCACGCTGGCAGCAATTCTCCTGCCTCAGTCTCCAAAGTGCTGATATTATAGGTGTGTAATACAATGCTCAGCTAAGATTACATTATTTTCATCTGCTTTGATGCCCATTAAATAATTCCAGGCATTCATTCACTTTTTTTTTTTTTTTAATTTAGGGAAAGGTTTCAGGGTGTTCAGGATCTCACCACTAGATCAGACTTGTGGAGATCGGCCCATTTACAGCCTCCCAAGACCTGGGATTACAGGAACATGCCACCATGCCCAGTCTCAATTGCTCAGTACACCTGGGGGCGGGGCCAGCACAGCAGGTTTGGGGATCAAACCCCCAGCCCCTGTGCCTCATTCACTTTTAAAATAAGTTTTATGAGCAGGAAAAGGCTTCACATGTACATTTTAATTGGCAATTTTTAGGAATTTGCATCTCTGTACAGAATAGGAAGGAAAACCAAGTGCTATGGCTCAGTTAATGTACAATCTGGAAATAGTTCAAAGACTTCAACGAAGATTTTTCTATATTCTACTTGGAAATTAAACTTTCTTTCCTGAAAGGACCAACTCCATTAAACACTAAGGGGCCGGGGAGATGGCTCAGTAGAAAAAGTGCTTCCCTGGCAAGCACAAGGACCTGAGTTCAATCCCCTGTTCCGCAAAAAAAACCCACAAAAAACTAGTATTAATGGGAATTCTTAAGACATTCTAAAACACCATGGGGCTAAGGATACAGCCCAGCAGCACAAGCAACTGACTAGAAAGTGCAAAGTCCCAAATTTGATGCCCAGAATAACAACAACAAAACAAAACAAAACAAATCACAATTGTGACCTACTACTATAATCCTAACACTCTTGAAGGTTGAGGCAGGAAGAACACAAACTCAAACCCCATCTGGGCTACATTACAGTGATTTAGCAAGCCTACTTCAAAGTAAAGTAAGAGGAAAGGGGTCCTGTAGCTCAATGTAAAGCCCCTGGGTTCAATGGGAGTTGGTGATGATTCAACACTATGGATATAGTCAATTCAATATAAGTCCCGATTCAAAGTAAGAAATTAAAGGATGTGTTCAAGTTCCTTGTGACCAAATACAGCACTACAAAAGGGAATCTAAGCTTTCCAGGAACCCCAATGCATCTTTTCTCCACTTAGTACAAGTCATCAACCTCCCCATCTTCCCCTACCAACTCTGTTAGAATTGTTATGAACCCAAAGTTCACTGCTACTTAGCCATTTCTATTTTTACACACTGACCATTAATAAAATCAAAGATGGGTGAAGGAAAATAGGAACTCAGTGAACCTCTTACCACCCCCCACCCGTCCAACAGCTTCACCTAATTCTGGTCTTTCTAAATATAGAGCAGTTCTTCTGCCCTCAGAATCACCCTTCCCCCCTTCTCAGCATGAGCCTGAGGGCTTACCTCCAACATGACCACGCAGATCTGTTTGACACACTCAATGATGGATTGCGGGATGCCAGCAATAGTGATGGCCCGCTCAGTTGAATTGGGGAGCATATCTCCTGCCACTTGGACCTGAGCCCCTGTACTCTGGGTAAGAAAAAATTGAAAATCAAAATAATTCACATTCTTCCAATTCTTTCCAGTAGTTAAGTTTACCTATGTCCTTCTTACTACTATTCCCTTATTTCAGATAGTAGTTTAGTAGAAGTTAAAAATAAATTAAGCCTTTCAAAGACAAGAGTAAGCCTGAATAACAGCCTAAATTTAAGAAAGTCTTGGATAGTTTTCTCTCAACAAGTGAAACTCCATGGGTCAAGCCAGGCACGGGTGGTACAAGCCTTATAACCCCAACACTTAAGGTGGCTGAGGTATAAGGACACTACACATTTGAGGCCAGCCTGAACTATACAACCCAAGACCTTGTCTCTCAAAAAAAAAAATTTTTTAAACAGTTGTCTGGGAAAACAAAATCCTCACGAATATTATCATTTTTCATTTGTTTATCAAACAAGTATGAGGTCAAGACCATTTTATGTACTAGGCATCACTTCAAATACTCTGACATATTAACAATCCAAGACCTGTTCGCACAACATTTACAAAGTTCCCAAGACTCCAATCAAATTTCTTGAGAAACCATTCAGGCTTCATCCCAATGCCAACTATAGTAATGCCCAGATACAATTAAAAATGTCTACAACTCAATACAACTACCATTATTAAAAAGGAAAAAGGATTACAACTATATCTTACTGTATGTTCCCCTTCCACCTTGGCGCTTAGTTTGGCCAAGAAAAATATTGATATGTTACACTGCGAACTATAATTACTTCAATTATGAAAAATACTGCAACCTCGTGGACATTACCAAGCTATGCAAAATTACAGAAGAAACGGAAATTATGTGCAGCACTTGGAAGTTCTGGGTAACTTTCTCACATTCTGATCATTTTGTGTTGTTTCAGTAGTATGAAGTAAACCCAGGTCCTTCACACTCAACTATTACACCCCCAGCCCTTTTTGAGACAGGGTCTTGCCAAGTCACTAACTGCCTAGCCTGGGCTGGAATTTGTAGTCCTCCTGCCTAAGCCTCCCAGAGATGTCCATGCATGACTCCCAGCTGTGGCTGTTATTAAAACTTATGAACTGAGCCAGGCATGGTGGTGCTCACATGTACTCTTAGGTACAGAGGAGTCTGCGGCAGGACTGTCTGCGTCTAATAGTTCAAGACTAGACTGGGCAATAATATAGCCAGGCAGCATTTTTAAAAAGGGGGGGGGGAAGAAAAAGAACTGGGATAAGTAAGTAGCTTAGTACAAGAGTGCTTACCTAGCATGCTTATTTTTAGGACCCTAAGTTAAATCTCTAGCACTACAAAATTAATTGAATAAAACCTATGAAGTATGTTAAAACCAACTGTATTATAACTTTCTTTACCAGTACACACTGTACGCCTCCCAGACTGTTACTTAGTAAGTCTTCTCATTTAACGCAAACTATTCCTGTCTACCTTAAGAGTGAACAAAGCCACATTTGGAAGAAATACCTCTCGTATTTCCTTGATCTTGCAACCACCTTTCCCAATGAGAGAGCCACACTGACTAGCAGGGACCACCAGCCTCAGAGTGACCGGGGGTCTACTGGCAGCTGTGCTATTGGTCATAGAGCTGCTGATGTCCTACAAAAAGAAAAAAAGTTAGGATACCAGAGAAACAAATAAGCTTAAAAATTAAAAGCACATCCCTGAGAACTCCTGGCTTCGATAAGTATGCCACTTACAAGAATCATGATTTTTTACAAGACAATCCACATCATTAAACTGAAAGATTCAAATACCAAATTCCCAACAATTTAAGTGAAGATGAAAACTTTTACAAATTTCCTCAGAAAAAAACAAATTTATTTTCCTTCATCCTAGGAAAAGTACACTTGATAGAGAAAAGAGCTACTACTTTACAAATGACAAATTGGGTAAACAACAGGGAAAACATTTATGTGAAGCCAGGTGTGGTGGCACGCATCTGTAATCCCAGTAGCTCAGGAGGCTAAGGCAGAAAGATCACAAATCAAGGCAAGCCTGAGTGAAGTAGTGAATCTAAGGGCAGACTAAACTGCATAGTGAAACAGTTTCAAAGCCCACCGTATCTCCTCAAAAAAGTAGCAATAACACTAAATTGACACCAATGGGCTGAGGGTCAGGGATAATAGCTCAGCAACAGAAGGACCTGCCTGACAAGCACAAGGTCCCAAGTTCTAATTCCTAGTACCCAAAAAGATAAGCTGAGCTTGGTGATGCATGCCTGCAATCCAAGCACTTTAGAAACAGGCCTTACACAGGAGAATCACAAGTTAAGGGACCACAAATTACCTGGCTAATTTCACAAGACTGTCTCAAAATTTTAAAAAAGCTGAGGATGGGGGACCGGGGAGATGGCTCAGTAGAATAATCGCTTCCCTGGCAAGCGCAAGGGCCTGAGTTCAATCCCCAGTTCTGCAAAATAAATAAATAAATAAAAAATAATAGGAGGCTGAGGATGGAGTTCAGTGTGAAGTCCTGGGTTCAATTTGTGCAATAGCAAACTCCCCCTCAAAAAAGGACGAAACATTGCAATGCAGTCTGTGATCCTGGCTTCTTTTTTTTTTTCAAATTTAGTACAGGGTCTTACTACACAACTTGGACTCATAGTGATCCTACTGTCTCAGTCTCCCCAGCACTGGGATTACAGGTGTGCACCACCATGCCCAGTTTCAGTGGTCAGCATGGACAATAGTACTAGGGATCTAACCTAGGTCCTTGTTCTTCCCAGGCAGGCACTTTGACCACTGACCAATCAATCTACCCAGCCCTAGAGTCTGCGATTTTACAGAAACTAAAGATTACAAAGTTAAGAAATGCCAAGCTTAGTGGGTATACCTGTGACCCCAGAATTATAGGAAGCTGAAGCAAGAGAGCCACAGTTCTACCCAGCCTGGGTTAATGCGGCAATTTAAGAGACCTTGTCTCAAGAAGGAAGGAAGGAAGGAAGGAAGGAAGGAAGGAAGGAAGGAAGGAAGGAAGGGGAAAGAAAGAAAAAACAAAAGAAACAAAATGACAGCCAGTGAGATAGCTCAGCAGACTAAATGTTCGATTCCTGGTCCCGCATGCCACGCCAGCCCTGCCCCCATAGTGTGACCCTGGACCAAATACATAAATGAAAAAAAAAAAAAAAAAAGACTATGGCGCATGCCTGTAACCCCAAGGATTAAGAGGCCAAAGCAGGAGGATCACTCTCAGCTAGAGGCTACTCTGGGGGACCTAGTAAACTAAAGGCCAGCCTGAACTATGCAGTGAGATCCTAACCCAAAAAAATAAATAACCTTCTGAAAATCATGTAGAGCCAGAAATGGGGCCATATGAAAATAACCCAGCAGTCTGGAAGGATGAAACAGGAGGATCCTTAAGTTTGAGACCAATCTAGACAACTCAGTGAGACTCAAAATAACAACAAAAAAAAGGATGTGAATGTAGCGTAATGCAAAAGACTTGGGTTCAATCTCTGATACCAGGAAAATAAAAAGATTAAATGGTTTTAAATATCACCTGTCGGGGCCGGGGAAATGGCTCAGTAGGATAAGCGCTTGACTGGCAAACGCAAGGATCTAAGTTCAATCCCCGGTTCCGCCAAAAAATAAATAAATAAATATCACCTGTCAGTCTCGTTTCTGGTTAGTAGCTAGACCAAGAAACTGCGAAACACCCTGAAGTCAAAAATGCTTCTTCCTTAAACAACAAATAGTACTGTTCCTTAAAATACAAATAGTACTGGTTTTAAACAACCAATTCTGGATTAACAAAGCCTTGTATGTCAAAAGACCACCTTTCTAGGACTAGAGTATAGCTTAGTGATACACTTGCCAGCATGCACAAAGAGGTCGATTTAAGGGGCTGGGGAAATAGCTCAGTAGAATAAGCACTTGGGCAAGAGCAAGGACTTGAGTTCAACCCCGTTCCACCAAAAAAAAGCTGTGGATTTAAACCTCATTAAAAACAAAAAATTTTTCTGATCTGGACAAGATTTGAGGCACCATTAGGTAACAATCACCAATAAGAAGTTCTCTTCTGCCTGTGCTATCAATTACGCAATTAGCTGCATTACAGCAAAAGTGGGAAAAGAAAGCTGAGTACAAGACCTAGGACAATGATTGTTCTGACTCTGAAGGTTTTGTTTTGGGGCTTTTTTGGCACTGAGAATCAAACTCAGGACTTTGCACTTGCCACACAGAGGCACTGTGCCACTGAGCTATATTCCCAGCCTGCAAAAAAAACCTTCCTAATAAAACCCCTGGCATGGTTTATTTTGCTTTATAACCTACTGCTTTCCATCCAAGTGTAATCTTTTATTTACTTATTTATTTATTGGTAGTACCAGGGATTGAACTTAGGACCAAGCACTGGCCAGGCAAACACTTATTTTACTAAGCCATCTTCCTGGTCCCCACAAGTATAATCTTGACACATTACTAGTGTCTGTGTATATACTTTTTATTTACTTTTTGTATTTAATACAGAGTGTTCAGGGTCTCACTCCTGTTTTCAGTCTCCCAAGTGCTGGGATTACAGGTGTGCACCACCTCACCCAGTCTCAATCACCATCTCAGCGCACCCTGGGGGCAGGAGCAGCATGGCGCACCAAAGATTTAACCCAGACTTAGACTCTGCCTAAGCAGGTGCTTTAGTCTGCTGAGCTATCTGGATATACTTTTTAAAGGATACATGTACGTACATTATAATAGCACCAACAGTTGCAAACATATTTTGAGAGGACTCCTAAGAAAAGCACAGTAATGCAGCTCATTCAACTTAACATTAGCAGTTGTAAAGTTTGCTGAAAAAGCAATGGCATACTTTCAAAACCACTGGCCAAGAAATTAACAGAAAATTTATAAAGAAAAAAAGAAATTTAAAAAGACCTAAAGCTCTCTGTGATGGCGAATTTCCCTAACATGCAGATCCCCAGGACAGTTAAATAAAAACCAAAAACCAAACCAAAACAAAAACAATATTTGAGATTGAGTGTGGTGGTGCATGCCTGTAATCCTAGTGCTGGGGAGGCTGAAAACAGCAGAATCACTATGAGTCCAATCCGTGTAGTGAGACCCTGTACTAACCACATTAAAAAAACCCAAAACAATATTTGTTCTGCTACATAAAGTCTATATTCTTAGTGTGTGTGTGTGTGTGTGTGTGTGTGTGTGGTGGTGGTGGTGGTGGTGGTGGTGGGCGGGGGTGTCTCACTAAGCAGTTCAGGCTGGCCTTGAACTCACTTTGTAGCCCAGGCTGGGTTCAAACTCAAAATGATCCTCCTGGCTCAGCCTGTAAGTGCTGGAATTATAGGTGTACGCTACCATACATGACTATATATTCTTACAGTCGCATTCAAAATAATAATAATGACAATAAATACAGGGAGAAAATATACCTCTTCCAGTTTGTCAATGATCATAGCAAAGGCTTTGAAGATGGCATTAGTGGGTCCAGCCAAAGTGATAATTCGCTCAGGACAATTCCCTTCTGAGATGTTGATACGTGCACCACTCTGAATAAAAAAAAGAAACAATGGTACTACTTTAAGAGACTAAAAAAGAATTGACAATGAACAGGACACACAGTACAAAAACTTGTCTACATATAGAAGTCAGCATCATTTCTAAGACTATTTCATGTTTGTCCTTGAACAGTCTACACTAGCTATCAAGTCTTGAATTATTTCTGAGATTTATCAGAAACCTGTATTTCCCAGTACACACTATTTGTCATTACAAAAATCTTGAGCCACAGCTGCATGTGTGGTGGCACATGCTTGAGGGTGAAGTAAGAGAATCACCTTCACTCTGTGACCAGCCTGAGATAAGAGACCCCACCCATACCACCAAAAAATTTTGGGCTGGGAATATAGCTCAGTGGTAAAGCACTTGCCCAGCACGTTCGAGGGCCAGATTTAATCCCCAACACAATACAAATAAAAAACCCAACAGAACCAGAAAAAGACAGGTTTTCCCTACTGACATTTCCCCAGAGAACTCTCACTTGTTTTAAAGGGTTTTCACTTCTCAAGATTAACAACCCCAAATCCCTTGTAACTCACCTCCTCACGCATCTTCTTAACTGATTCTCCTTTCTGTAAGAGTAAAAGTCAAGTATAAGCTCCAGTTGCTATTTCAACCAAAAGTGGCTAAATAGTTACCTGAGTTCAAGAAAAATTTTCTTACCTTTCCAATGATACTGCCAACTTCCTGCAATGGAGAAAACTTTTGTCAGTAAAAAGAAACTCAGAAGCATTACTTTGAAAATTGGAAGCATTATGAAAAGTAATATGAGCCAGGCATGGCACCACATGCTATTAAGTACTTTGGAGGCTGAGACAGGATCCCAGATTTCAAGACCAACCTAGACCACACAGTGAGTTCAAAATCAGCCAGAACTACATTGCAAGACCTTGTCTCTAAAGAAAAAAAGGAATCTGTAACTGTTTAGCTAACCAACTGCTACCTGTATTAATCAGATACCACCCGCAAGGAATCTAAAGATTTTAAAATATAGGGAGAGGGCTGGCGAGATAGCTCATCGGACTAAGCATCAGGGTTCAATCCCCAGCATAACTAACCCACCCCTGGGTGCACTAAGGGGGCAAGACCAGGTGTGATGGTGCACACCTGTAATCCCAACACTGGGGAGGCTGAAAACAGGAAGATCACTACAAGTCCAAGCTGCATGATAAGACCCTGTAACTAAATACATTAAAAAAAAAACAAAAACAAAAACAAATCTATAAAGAACAGCTTGTTTTTTCCCCTCACTGAAGAATCTGAGAGTGAACCAATCACTGAAAATGAAAACTCTGCTGGCCTTGGTGGCACACACACACACATGGTGGCCTCCCAGCACTCAGGAGGATAGTTGTGCTGTAGGTTTAAGGCCAGTCTGGGCTACAAAGTGAGTTCAAGACCAGCCTGAACTGCATAATGAACCACTATTTCAAAAAATAAAAAAAGAATGAAGCCATCAAAGAATTCTGAGGGATTAATCATACCAGAATGATTAAATACATATCTTTGTATTTAACATAAATTATTCTTAAAATACCAACTATGTCTGCCCCCTTTAAAGTTTCTTAAAACCACTTAGGAAATCTATTACAAGCTATACCAAGTCCCACCAGAAATATTTTACCATCCAGGTAAAAGGCAGTCTTTTGGCTCTAACCTCCATCTAAGCTTTTCCTGCTCAGTGGAGCTTCCTACTAAAATCTGTCCATTTCCCCACCACTTTCACATTTATTCCATTAGAAAACAGTGCGAAAGCCAGACACCCCACAGTGCAAATCTGATGAGCTCCAAGATGCAGGTCTGCTCTTCCTGGCCCCTCCCCTAGCAGTTACTATGACCCAATTTCCCAAATTGGTGCATACCTTCCCATGCATAAGTAGCCGGATGGTGAGAGTGACATTTAATCCACCTTCAATCACACCGGTGTCCATGTCGAATACTATGGGGAGCTGGACTTTTTGAGTGCTCAAGTCTTTGGTCACTGGGGGAGGGTCAAAGCCAAAAACTGAAATGCAAACAACATGACCAAAATCAAAGAACAGTAATTATTACCTGGTTATTTTCACCAATATCAGCTATTCAGATTTCTAATTTATTATTTTCCTTAAACAACCACCTACCAGATTCATACACACTCAGCACAACTGTGCAACATTACAGCTCAGGTTCTGTTACAGCATATAAGACGACTTTCCAGTTTATTCTCACTAATAAGAGTATTTGGGCTGACTCTCAGGATGAAGAACACTCCCTTCACTGGCAATAGTTGTAAGGGAACTGCTGAATGTGCACCCAGTTGTCCTTCAGCAGAATAGACTTCAAAAAGGACTCAGAAGTACCTAGGTAAACCTCTAACCAACTCCCGGTGGTGGCAAAACGACCTTTTGCTTCCCTAATAGGCACAACAGAAAACTAGAGAACATATGTAGATTCTGTTATAGTTGTTAACAACAATTTCTAGACAAAGAAATTCAGATGCATCCCACATTACAAATTTCAGATACTGATGAGTTTTTAAATTATTAAATGAAGCTGGGCATGGTGGTGCATGCCTGGAATCCCAGTACTCGGGAGGCTGAGAAGCAGGAGGGAGTTTAAGACAAGCCTGGGCTACAAAAGTTAGCTCAAGGCCAACCTGAAGAGCACAGCAGAGATCCTGTCTCAAAAAGACAAAAATAATAATTATTTAAATGAGTTTTTGAAGATTTAGGTCAACAACCTCTCTGAAAAAGGTATTACCTGAGCTCTTTCCCATGTATGCCAGGGATAGATACTGTTCTATGGGCTATGACTCTATACAGTAAGTACAATTGACTCCTTTCCTCCTATTCCTTCTCCCAACCCAACTTGACCATTACACATAATCTTCCTTGCTTCTGTGTAAAGTTTCACTACCACTTTTTATTCAAACCTATTAAATCTTGAATCTCTTCCCAGAGAAAACTGGTATCATTAAAAATATACGTTATTGCTTTAAACAGCAATGTTTTTCCTATCCAGAGCAGTTCATTTTCCACTCATCCTCTGAAACAATGTTGCTAACAATTCTGCTCTGGAATAAGCAGTGATATGGAGAAAGAGGATTTGGTTTGGAACATGTCTTTTGTTTTTTCTTTTTACACCTAATCCTGGTAACTGTAAAAGAATCTTTCCCAAGTTGTTAAATTTCTCCAATAACATGGTAACTAATCATCTCTTCAAAATTCAACATCAATGATCTCTCTCCCTCTATAGCTAGTTTTCCACCTTCACAAAACCACACTTTGAACTGGACCACAAAGTCCCCTATCTTAAAATGTTTTTACATTAAGTAAATACCAAACCATTCAGCATACAACGAACTGTCCTCTGGTTACTTCAGAATGTAAATGATTATGTAAGTGAGTCCTCAAAAAACATCATTTCTCTATTTTTCAGAATACAGTTAATTGCTGCCAAAATCCCAGACACTTCACTCATGGAACAAACAATGCTTGGCAGGAGATGGGAGTATTGGGTCTATCAGCATTATTTTCTTTTTTTAATAAGACATGGTAAAAATCTGGCAGCTTAAATCTTGTTCTTTCAGAGGCAGTAAGAAGCATTTATAAATACTACAATGCTGCAAGTTCGAAAGAGCACGAAAATTGAAAATTTGAAGCCACTTCTTGGAGGTAAAGCACAAAGGTGCATTTTAAACTCCAAACCATGTAAGTATTCCAACAAATCTATCATATCTCTCCTGACTAGGTCATATACGTGTATCCTGTCCCAGGAATCCAGCTGCTAATTCTGCAGTCAATTACTCCTCTATAAATAGCTTGGTCTGGGTTTATATCGGCAGGCATTTTGTCAATTCAAAATTCGTTACCCCGAATGTCCTGAAAAACTCGGTAACTGGGAGCCCCCCTCCCCTCGGTTATCCAAGCATTCTCCACTTAAAAAAGAAAAAAGCCCCCCCTTCCTCCGACCAGAAAAGAGGGAAAAATAAACGGTTCGGTCGGGGGGGGGCGCTGCGATCCAAGGGGAGGGGCCGGGCGAGTAGCGCCTCCTCGTGTGGCTGCGCCAGCGCCTGACCCCCGCGGGGAGCCGCGCTCACCCGCCCGGCCAGCAAGCCGGCCATCGCCTCCCCACCCCCCTCAACTAACAAATCCACCGCACCCCCCCTCCACCGCGCGCGCGCCCTCCTTGACTCCTGCGCAGCCGCCACCGGGAAAGGTGGGGGGGAGGGGGATAGGCCTTGCGCGAGGCCTACTAGGCCGCGCCGGAGCCGGGGCCTCGCGTGAATGGCCAGCCAGGGAGAGTGAGATGCCAGGCGCACACACCGGACTACGAGAGGCCGGGGATCCGGACTAGGGCCAGAGGCCGCTACGAAACAAGGCATGGAAGGAATTAAGGGCTAAAGCCGGAGGCGAAAGGGAAATTTTTAAGCTTACCTGCAGGCGCGAGGCGACTGAGGGGAAAAGGGGAGCGGGCGGGAAGGGGAAGGGCGGGAGGCCGGGGGCGGAACAATAGGGGCGGGCGGGAAGGCAAGGGGGGCCCCGCGAGCGGGCGGAGGAGGAAGGGGGGGGTGGAGGAGGAGGAAGAGGAAGGGGGAAAGAGACCCCGGGGCGGGTGGAGGGCGGCGGAGGGCGGGCGGGCGGAGGGCGGGCGGGAGAGGGCGCAGGCTGCGGCTGCTCCGGCTGCTGCCTCTGCTGGTCTGGGAGGGGGACGGGGCGGAGCGGCCCGCTTTCAACCCCGCGCACCCTTCGACCCCGGAAGCGCTAACCGCCCCGGGGGCCGTCGAGGAGACTGAGTCGTCCAGACCTTCCTCACGCGATGCGAACGGCCTCCTAACAGCCTAGAGCGGCTCCTTGGATGCGTCAGTACCAGTGAGACCACAGCCGGTATAAATGATAAATTGTGAGATAGAGTGACAGCGTGGGTGCGTAAGAGAAGCTAGTGGCCCCTAGCGACGTGGTTGAAAAGTTCAGGCGTAAGTGCGCAGAGAGGTGGCAGTCGCCATGGATCTAAGAGAGGAGAAAAAAGGAACAGGCTTTGGAGATATAGGAATAGGCTTGGGTCTATAATAACACTCAAAGAACAAAAAGGTTAAGAAAAACTAATGTGCCACGCTGAATGACTGTCACACCAACTCCTTACTCTGAAAACTGGTAATTAAGAAAAATTAAGCATTTACCATTACTTTTTAGGAAGTACTATAGTTCAATAATTGATAGGGGAAAGCCAATTTTATGAACAGTCTCATCTGAAAATTATTATTAATGAAAAGAAATATTATTAATGAAAAGTATATTGTTATGATACCCAATCTCTCCGCAAACATTATTTTCAAATAATCTTTAAAAAAAAAAAAAAAGTAACGTAAGGCAGGCACTTATGCCTCTGAGCTATCTCCCTGACCCCATAAAAAAACCTAGTCAAGTTCTGGGCTAGTGAGATAGCTCAGCAGACTAAGCGCCTGCTTAAGCAAGCACAGGGACCAAGGTTCAATCCCTAGCACCACATGCCCCACCCACCCCACCCCCGGGCACATCAAGCCAGTCACCAAGATCAAGCATGGTGGCTCACTGGCACAAGCCTGTAATCCCAGCGCTGGGGAGGCTGAAAACTGTAGGATCACTCCAAGTCTGAGCTGCTTAGTGGGACCCTCTACCAAATACATTTAGGAAAAAAGAAAAAAGAGGCCAGTTCTGTCACCACCACCTTACACGAGTAAACTTTGCATCACTAACAGTAGAAAAGTTTGACATTACACGGCTCTTGATGAGGTGGAATAAGGTACACTTGGAAGCCTGAGGCAGACAAATGGATGCTATTTAGGCTTAGCATGGGGGTGCGTGCCTGTAATCCCAGCACTGGGCTACAAAGTCAACTCAAGGCCAACCTGAACTGCATAGGGAGGCCCTGTCTCAAAAAAGACACACAAAAAAATAATTTTTCATTTACATTAAATGAAAGAACACCACACACCACCAATACAATTTTAAGATGTAAACCCAGAGCAAGAAACTTGCCACAAATAGACTGGTCACCTCTCAAGAGACAAGTGGCCTGGTCACAGGAAAAAGGCAATTAAGTGAGATTACACGCCCGTAATCTCAGCACTTGGGAGGCAGAGTCAGGAGGATCATTGTGAGTTCTAGACCAACCTGGGCTACAAAGTGAGCTCAAGACCTGCTTGAACTGCACAGTGAGACCCTGTCTCAAAAAAAAAAAAAAAAAAAAACAATTAAATATTATAAAATACATAAAACAAAGCCAAGAATAGTGGTCCACACCTGTAATCCCAGTACTCTGGGAGACTAGGCAGAAGGATTCCCCCATTCCAGCTAAGCCTGGCAACTTAGGTAAAGCAGTAGTAACAAACCCACACAAGCCAAGTCACCCCTGACCTTGAAAGTAGGCAGCTAAAATATTATCCAAATCTAAAAATCCATTTAGTATATTCTATAATTACAGACAATTCTACAAGCCATCAGGAAACTACAAGGAATTTTCTAGCATTGTAGCAACTTCAAAGGAGAATTTAGGAGGGGGTACCAAGCATGGAACTCGGGACCTTGTGCTTGCCAGGTAGGCATGTGCCACAGCCCTCCACCCCAGAGGAGAATTTTAATAACAGATTTTTACAGTTTCATAAAGTGACAAAAGCCCCACGTCTTCTCCAAATAAAGCCAAATTTGAAGAACTCGAACTTTCCTGTTTATACTGGTTAGATTTTGGAAATCTGGGGGCCGGGGAGATGGCTCAGTAGAATAAGCACTTGCCTGGCAAGCGCAAGGGCCTGAGTTCAATCCCTGGTTCTGCAAAAAAAAAAAAAAAAAAGAGAGAGAGAGTTTGGAAATCTGGAAATGGAGCCATTAGCTTTTCAAGAGCACTCTCTCTGGAAAAATAAATTCTATGGCTTATGTGCAACACTTAAGAAGATGTAGTGTGAAGACGACAAAGCACAGCACAGTTGGTAGTTGTAAGAATGAAACCCTTAAAGTATGGAATTCTCTGCCTAATAATTTTATGTCAATAAAAGCACTTGGAATTGCTTTTCTTTGTCTGGATCATCTTATATTTGTGAGCAGCTGTTTTCAACTTTGAATTCTATTAACTCTTGATACAAGTCATACATTAACAGAGGACCTGAGTGCTGCATGTGTTGCTCTCAAACTAAGGAAGTGTGGGCCAAGATCAGGATAAACAGATTACCAGCATGCATACAACAGCAAAACTCACATTTATTGTGCAAAAGCATGCAAATGCAAACTTTCTTTTTTCTTTTTTCTTTTTTGTACCAGGGATTGAACTCAGGACCTTGCACTTGCCAGGCATGTGTTTATGCTGCTGAGCTATTTCCCCAGCCAAAGAGTCATTTCAGGGGCTGGAGAGATGGCTCAGTGGTCTAAAGCACCTACTTGAAACAAGCTTGGCAAAGCACAGGGACCGCGGTTCGATCCCCAGCACCACATGCCAGCCAGACCCGCCCCCTGGTGGGCTGAGCTGGCCACACACACACACAATAAATAAATGTAATAAATAAATATTTTTTAAAAAAAAGAGTCATTTCATTTTATCTTTATTTTATTGGTACCAGTAATCAAACTCACAACGTTGTGCTTGCCAGGCAGATGCTTGTGCCACTGAACTATGTTCCTGGCCATTTACCTTTCAATAAAATGCTGCTTATATTATTAAAAACACTGTTACTGTGTATTTCTTCTAAGACAAAAGATAGTAAACTATGAGTTGTTTTTCCTAACCTAGAATTTCAGTATTCAGGTTTAATTGTAGTGTTGGCAATTTGTGGTAAGTATGTTGCAATTTGGGCACTCAGTCTCTAAAAGGGTACCTATAACTTAGTAACTTAGAAAGACCCTATCTTGGGCCAGTGATGTAGCTCAGCAGCACAAGTACCTACGTGGCAAGCACAAGGTCCTGAGTTTGATTCCCAGTATATATGTATATATACATATATATATGTATATATATATATATATGTATATATATATATTAAAAAAAACCTCTCAAAAATCATTTGAAAAAGTCTCATAAGTAAAAAGGGGGACCGAGAAGATAGCTCAGTAAAATAAGCATTTGCCTGGCAAGTGCAAGGACCTGAGTTCAATTCCTGGTTATGCCAAAAAATAGGAAAAACAAGTAAAAAGGGCTGAAGATCTACTTCTACTTCAGTGTGAAAGCCCTTGGTTCAATCCCCAGTATGGATTGGGGGTATACAGAAGGAGGAAGAAAGCATTTGAAAGGTAATAATAACCTAATATGTGGATTTTAGTTGGAGGAAAGAGCTGTACAACTGAGCAAATTCAAACATGAACTGAGAAGGCTGAGTCAGGAGGATCACCATGAGTTCAAGGCCAGCCTCGGCCACATAGTGAACTCATACCAGCCTGTCGAGAGAGAGAGAGAGAGAGAGAGAGAGAGAGAGAGAGAGAGAGAGAGCCTGCGAGTTAACTCAGCAGTCTAAAGTGCCTACTTAGGAAAGCTTTAGGCAGGTGCAGGGGACCATGGTTCGATTCCTGGAACCACATGCTGTGCCAACCCTGCCCTCAGGGTGGGCTGAGCTGGCCAAAAAAAAAAAAAAAAAAGACAGCAAGACAACAAATTCTAGGTTATTGATGCAACTAATTTATATCCTTCGGACATTTATTTTGGCTCCAGATCAGTCAGGTTTATTGAGTAGCCCTAAATCACTTGAGTCACATGAAGAGAGATAGATTACTAAAGTGAAAAATAAAAACTTGAAGATTCTTATCTTTCCTCTGATGACCCAAAGGAGGGGATGGGTATTAGGAACAATGTGAAATAAAAAGAAAGTTATTATTTGGCAAGGGCAAAGGGTGACCAAGTAGGAAATTAAGTAGGAAAACTTTAGGACACCCTAAACAAGGCAAATTGAGGAGCAGGCTTACTGTGAAGCCTGAGCCAAAGATCAGAGTAACCTCAAGACTCTGAAGTTGGGTCACTAAGACACATGGGCCACTCATAATTGGCACGAAGGTGACAATTGTCCATGAAACCACCTATAATGTAAAGAGCAAACAGATGTATTTGAGCTGGTCAAGAGTGATAGCAATTTTGAAAGGAAAGATAGCAGCCCATGGGTGTAGCTCGGTAGTAAGCATATGGTTAGCATGCACAAGATCCCGGGTTAATCCTCAGAACCAAAAGAAAAGCAAGAAAAATTGGCTGCATCTCTAATAATAATACCTAATTATTTAATGAATCCATAAAGTCTTTATAAAGGGGAGAACAACACAAGCTTGCTTAGGGACACAAAACAACCCAACTCAGGGTGACGGCTCCCAAAATGCAGCAAACTAGACTCATACCATTATTCACTCCCTAAAGCTGTGGTATCAACTTGTATATTTAGATCTCATGGGGCATGGATTCTCCTTTCTGTGGAAATCTTGCTATACTTGGCTTTTAGTAAGAATGGCAAGACTAGATGTTCTTGTGGACACAAGGTGGTAAAAGAATAAGATGAAAATATTTGAGGACCACCATCTCTGAAGATGTGCTGATGCAGGATGCCAAGGCACAAACCCAAAGCTTTCCAAGGCCAGGCAAGTACTGGAATTAAGTTTTTCTATGGAAAAACTGGAGTCAGGGGAAAGGACAATAAAAGAGAGAGAGAGAGAGAAAGGAAAAACTGGAGTCAAGATCCATGTATGATGGGTAAGTACT